TGATGATAAGGCATTAAATTTAGAAAACTTTGCATAGCATATGAATATATGAGGAGACGTATGGATTATGAGGAAGAATTCCACTCATCTATGTAAACCTCATGAGAGGTAACCAGATTGTAGTTTTCCCTCAATATCTAAGATATCAATCATATGAGCCTGCAACTACTTGAAATAGTGATGAGAGTGATGCTGAGGAAGAGGATGACTACATTGGTTTTGTATTTTAGTTTAGTTTTTTTATGTATTATTTTGAATTATTTATGGTGAAATTATACTGTACATTTGTTGTGTTTTGAGTTGTATTTGTTGAGACTATTAATTTTATGTGTGTTTTATTTTGTTAGACACTGCTGCGATGTATTTATGTTTTTATAAGTAGTTATTATATTTTTGTGATAGTAATTGTGTTAACTGTGTTGTTTAATGTATTTAGTTAATTTGTGTTGAACTTAATTCTAAATCTTAAGAAAGTTTAGAGTATTGCTAACTTTTACTTAAAAACTTCATGTTTAAAATTTTCAATTTCCTACAAGATATTTTCTTTATGTTGCAATTATGTATGTTTGTTTGTGTGTTTATTTGTTTTTATGTTATCCTCCACTACATAAATGTCTAATGAATCTGTTTTTGTTAAGTAAATTAAAATTTGATCAATTTAATTTTTACTCCTATTTTTAATTTTTTTGTACTTGTATATTTAGGATGTAAAAATTCCTGCTAGTATGTTATTTTTAGTTTTCATTCCTCTCAATATTTGTATATGATGCTAAAATATTTTATTTTATTAAAGATTTAAGTTTGGGGGGGTGGGGGGATGAAAAATATTCTAAACATTTGAAATTTATTTGTTCTCAAATGTACTTCAAATAAATTTGATTTTGATTTGAAGAAAAAAGATCATGTATATTGATACACCTAAAAAACATAGTGTTTCTAGACATATTTTTATACCTATTTTTTGAGATATTGCGCTTTAATGGAAGGTATTTGTGTGTTTTTCTTTCAGGTACAACTAAAAAGGTGAAAAATGCTAAAAGAAGTAAAAGGATCAAATTGGGAGCAAAAATGTGAAAATTGTGCTAAAGTGTTTTGGCGCTTAAGTGCTAAATCCGACGCTTAAGCGTCGGTGAAACAGAGAAGGCCTTGCTTAAGCGCCAAAGGCCACGCGCTTAAGCGCTAGAGGCAGTTATGTGACGGTTTACTTCAATATGTTGAATTTTGAAAGGACATTTGAGGCACTTATTGGCTAAAGAGGGTGGTTATAACCACTAGAAACGAAAATATGGTTAGAAGACTTGTGAAAAGAGGCATCCTTTAAAGAATTCATCAAATTTAGACACATTTTGAAAAGTTATCAAGGAACCTCTTAGAGATTTATAAAAGAAGGAAGTTGAGACTTTTTGAGGTGTGCTTGAAAGTCTTGAAAAGTATTGGAATGGGGGAGTTCTGATAAGATTTTGAGAAAGTTTTGGAGAGGTTTTCAGGCACCACAAATTTACTTTATCGTTTTTATTTTTAGTTTTATTTTGAGAGTAAGTATTTTGAGAGTAAGAGTGTTATTTTTAGTTTTATTTTGAGAGTAAGAGTGTTGTAAAAGAGAAGATATTCAAAGGAACTTCAAGAGTTTGGTGGAGCTTTGTTTTTAAACTACTTTTAGTTGTTTTTAAACTACTTTTAGTTTTAATCGAGACTTCTTATTAGTTTGAGAATAATTTTACTTTTAAACTAAAGTTTGGTTTTGTTTTCTCCATGGATTCTGAGTAGTTTTCTTTATCTTTCTCCTTAAAATAATAAGTAATTAAAGTGTTGGATGAAAGTTGTGGAGAGTATTGATCTTTAAAGTTGGAAGAAGTTGCGATGATTTAAATCCATACACTTCATTTACTTCTTCATTTGGCCTATCTAGATGTTAAAATTTATTGTGAGAACATGTAAGAACTGGGCTGGTATTGTCTCAGTCAACAATTGAAAAGAATCACATGAGGTTGTATGAATGAGAAAGTAATTCAAATGATTTACTGCAAATAAATAGGGAAATAATCTTTGAAGGGTGTAGAGTTAGAGGACTTTAAAGTGACATGTTAAAGCCCCCAACTTGGTTTATTGTTTTAGGTTCTGATACGAGATGTTAGCCCCGATGTGGAGGGTATCGAGGGAACTCTAAAGTGAGAGCTAGTATCTTCCTTGCCTAGCCGGTCTTCAGAACTATTCAAACTTCAAATTAGCCAATGTTCTTTATAGCAGCTCTAGTAAAGGAAAAGAATTTTATTGCTCCTATGGCACAACACAATATTTGGCACAACACAATTTGCATACTTCCATAACAAAATTCCTATACTTATTACTGATTTATGATGGGAAGGAAGATATTTTCATATTCAGTGCTTTTCTTTTTCATAAACTCAAGTTATATTTAGAAGTTTTTATTATTTTGTCAAAATACAAAAAATACCAAAAAGATTTGAATTTTACTTATTACGAAAATATCTATAGTTTAAGTAATTGTATTTTTAAAATAGAGGGTTTGTTGTTCAATAGTGCATATTGCTAATTTTCCCTGTGGGTTCGATATTCATGTCTTGATAAAAAAGTCCTATAATACTTGATAACGATACGTATACTTATGTAGCATCCCAATATAAATATATAAATTAAAAAGTTAAATTCTTATTTTTTTTGGATCAAGTTTTTGAGTCTGTTGTAAAGTAAGGAAACATAAGTGAAAAATATCATCAAAGACATTATTATACGGTTGCATATAAACAATCAGGATCAAGTTTTTGGCGCCGTTGCCGAAGAAATTGATTGAAAGGAAAATTTCAATAATTGATTCAAAGCAAATTTCTATTTTTAGAAAGT